TATTTCCCTCTCTTGGCAATTACAGAATGAGGTCTCCCAGAACAGAAACTGGGGCTTAAAAGGCTGAAAAATGAGGGAAAACCTAATTTTAATTGGGGGGTAGGGAGGGATAAATAAAGCATAAAGCTAAATAAGGTATCTTTCCCCTCCTTAATATAAAAACATTATAAAATAAACCTTTTTTAAAAAAAGTATTCTCATCAGACATAGCTACTATTAGCATTTTGCTATACAAGGGGCTACAACATTCACAGAAAAATGGAACTAAAAGATAATGGAATTTTTCCATAAACTTTTTAAGCCACTTCATATAGATCTTTCCTTACCCAAAGCAATTTTTAAAAAAACCAAACTTTGTTAATAACAAAGTTCCCTGCCATAAGCACCAACTCTTTGTAGGAAAACTTTCTAAGCCAGTTTTCCAAAAACATTTCATTAATCCATGGCAAGAAAAATTTAGTACACACACACACACACACACACACACACACATACCTGAAGAAAAAAAATTAATAAAATACCCTTACTACATGTAATGCTCTAATTTTTCATTTATTCTATTTTCTTTTTGATTAAAAATTCTTATAAGTTAACAGTTATTTATCACTACATTGATTTCACTTTACTGGCTGTTTAGAAAGCATTGTTCTAAACAGCACATTCAGGACTGCACAAACAGTGCGCTGTTCAACCACTGTTCAAACATGTCCAGAAGTACCCAAAGAAAGGCCTGGCAATCTGCTTCCCAGAGGCTGGAGCCATGAAGTCACTTGGAGCGCAGTTCTACTGCGTAACACACTGGCTTCCATGAGTCCAAACTGACTAGACAGCAACTCTGGATTTTAAACTGAATATTCGTTATCAAAAATTTGCAAAGGAGAGGCAGAAAACATTCTCTACTTCAATTTTTTTTCAAATTTTGGTAGTACAGGAATAGAAAAGTAAAAGTAAAACGAGCGGAAATTCAGACTGTTAAATAACCTGGCCAGGAGTCTTTAGCAGAATAACAAAATTAGGAATATATCCATTTTTTCCACACTTTCAGAGTCCTATACTACCAGTGTCATACCCAAGCAAACCCATGACCATCAAGTCAATTCCAATTCATAGCAACCCTATGTAGTGTTTCCAAGCCTATAAATCTAGTCTGAATTTTAAATCTAATCAGAAGCAGATAGCCTCATCTTTCTCCCACAAAGCAGATGGTGGATTTGCACTGCCGGCCTTGTGAATAGCAGCCTAACACAGCAGTTAACCCAGCAGTTTTACCAGGACTGTCAGGTCTAACAGTATCTGGAAAACAACAACAACAAAAGCATGTCTTTCCTTTGGAGAAGCGCTTCACAGAATATGAGTATATGCTATCTAAACACAATACAAAAGCCCTAGTGTATACTATAGTAACATGAATAATTATACTTGGACAGCAAAGAAACCCCTTAACATTTTAAAAACTATAAAATCTGCTCATGAAACCCAACTGATACTGCTATCGTTTTCTTAATGCCTCCTTCCATAAATGCACTGGCACTATTTAATAAGATAATGCATTTCACACTTGAAAACACAAAATAATCCATGTAACTGTTTGGAGGTTCATTCATATATTCTATTCAACCCAGGCTGCACAAAACATATGTTATACTTTAGATCAGTGTTTCCCAAAGTGGGCAATACCACCCCATGGGGTGGGGGGAGGCAAGTAGGCAATACCATCCATGAGGTGGGGGGGGCACTGAAATGATCTAGGGGTAGCAGCAAAAGCAGATGCCTACACTTATCCTGGATTATGGGCTACAATAGAAACATTTTTAATTACCAGGGAGTGCTGAGGAGATTCCCCCCTCCCCTGAAAAGGGGTGGTAAGCCAAGAATATTCAGGAACCTATGCTTTAGATTAACAAAATAAAGATAATAAACCTCAGCTTTAATTCTACAGTAGAAGAGACTACTTTGGGCTTTCTCTTGGATATAACTAGACTGAAAATAAACTTGTAAACTAGGTAGATAGTCCTTTAGCAAGCCTACACAGACATTATTCAAAGATATGCAGGAAAGACTCATTTATGGGGAGCAGAATGAGGAGTTGCATAGTTTATTCCAGCAGCTCAACTGGGCCATGTATAAAGTGATAGCTCAAGACCTTCTTCAATGTGACAAGCTACCCTACCTAAAACACAACACAGCTCTATTAAGACTTCCAGATTACCACTTTTCAGTAGAATACCTGATCTTTAGTCTCTTTCTTCATCATCTTAAACTTTTTGCCACTCTAGCCATTTCCCTCAATATATTGGATAATCGAGGTGTTCAAATTCTATCCAAAATAAGAATAAATGACTTCTAGTAAGGATCTGAGTTGTTTCCCATTTGAGCAAAGTGTATGAAGTTTAGTGGTATCAATTTTATGACAATTTTGGCCACTTAACTGATCTTACTTGCTCTCTTGACTTTGGTTGTATTCAAAATAGTAGCATTCTCATTTAATTCTTCCAACAATCCTAGAGTGGTATCATTATAGTATGACAGTCCTCTGGGAAGAGAAACATAGTTAGAAATAGCTGCCTGCATCATTATTTGATGTTTTGGGGATGAGAAACCCTAATTGCTTCCCTTCATCTCTCCAAAAGTTGTCCCAAATGATGTAATTGAACCATGCAAATGAAAAGCCAGGAATGTCAGATCAATAAAGCTGATGGCTTCCAGGAGTTTAGTCTTATGTAGGATTACACCAATTCCTCATTTAAGACAATCTCATTATCCAATATTTCACATTTATGACAATAGTAATAAACTATCTATTGTCCCAATATAGGCAATCCTCTGGTTACAGATCTGTGCTTTTAAATTCAATTTTAAGAAAATCTGATCAGGTGCTAACAGTTCTTGTTTAGCCTTACTTTAGTGTATGAAGCCTTGTCAATGATTTAAAAGCTGCACGTACAGTAAGTGAAAATAATTGTAAAGAACTAGTTGCAAGAAGGGGTGGATTGCATCATTTCAAAGTTAGGGCAAATTTACATAATATTAAAGGGCAAATACGAAGTTTATAACCTGGAATTCACTGTATTTTACAAATTAACGATATTTGTCTGGTAATAACAAACACCCAGGTGGGAGGCCAGAGAGTAATACTGATGGGTCAACCTGGTTGGTGGCCCATAATTCTCAGTGATTTTATGATGTAATTGGCTGTAATGATGTAAGTTGGCAACTAGGTAGTTATATACTCCTCCATTTTCACATAAGCTGATTTTTCACATTGCATCCTGGTCTTAGGAATGTAATGGTGTCAATGAGTGAGGCGTGTGTGTCTTGTCTTACAATGAATTCAAATCCAAGGCCCTACATGATCATTTGAAAACCTACTTTACAATGATAACTCAGGATTGGTACTTTTTAGATGCACCCTTTGTATGCCTATCAGAAAACATGGATGTTGTAGATTCCAATATATATTAATATTCCTTGTGTAAATGTATAGCTTAGTTTCTCTTCCATGCTAAGTGATCTGCCTATACCAATTTTACCTTGAGCTCCTTAAAAGCAAGAAGTACCGTATCATCCTTATATTCTCAGTGCCCATCACCATTATTCCTAGTACACAGATGGCATGCAAAAAATCTCTGGGAAATAAAATTGTACAAAAAATATCAATTCAGATGTTTTTCCTTAAGCTAAGAATTTTAACTGTGATATGTTTGACTCAATTGATTAGCTATTTCTCACAAAAGATGAACTTGTATATAGGACAAATAACACATAGCCATTTTTATAAAGAAGCCTACTATGCAATCTCATGGTGAGAGCAGAATTAAACTACAGTCAGACTAACTCTCCCTGCTCATATCTGGTTCATTCTTAAAAACCACAAATTCCATGTGCAGATATATTATAATCATGAGATGCTGAAAAGTATTAATGTTTGAGATTATAAAAACTTCACACATCCACTCCTTTCTTATAGGCATGCCTAGGTTCCTAAGACCAGGTCATTATACAAAATTAACAGTATGCAATAATTGGGAGCCATGACTGTCTTCAGACCAGTGTCCACCCACCATTGCTGACCACCTGTTGGACACCCACAGCACATCCTGGAATGCATACAGCATTGGATGACCCCTTTCCCCACCACTGAGGAGTCCAGAGGTTGTAATAGTGATGGTGACTCCCACCACCACCTGCCCTGGGTAAAGCCTCCACTTGTTCTCCACCTGTCACCTCCTGCCATCTGTCTTGGGTGGAGATCCTGCTCATCTTCCATGTCTGAGGCCCACAGACCTGTGCTGATTACTTCCTTCTACCCCCTTCCCACCTCCACCCAACAACCTCCTCACCAACTCCGGCCCACAGGGTCTTTGCCCAGTCTCCCCCTGTATGCCAATGACCTAGAATCATCTGAGGTGGACTTGCACCCACCATAGATGACTGAGGTGTCATGGACGAATAGAAGAAGACATCCCAGGACCTATAGTATAATATTGGGGGTGGACCACTGAGTAATCAGGACCTAGATTTATCTAGTCTGCCATTTCAGGTGTCCTGAAGAAGAGGCAGTATAATTTCAATTTGTACTGCACCAAAGAAGTCAATGAATAAAGTGTTGTGCTAAGGGCTCATAAACTTTATCTTATTTAAACCTCTAACGACTCCTTGGGGTATGTATAATTATGCCCATTTTATATGTGAGGTGATTAAGACTCAAGGCCACTAGTTATTTGTAGGAGCTACAACTCAAACCCAGGACTGACTGACATAAGTTCTTAACTGCTCACAACACTGCATCCCATAGTATATTCTTAACAACAAATTTTCATTTTGTGAATTATGGAAATAACATACCATGATTACTTTTTAACTCCACCAATTTGAGAAAAAAAAAAAAAAAGGGAAATTGTATTCCTTAAAGAGCATTATAAATTTCCTACCATCGTCCCCCACCACTACCACCATCAAAACATTATGGGCCCCACCATTGTGTTCCATATAACACTTACCACAGCTATTAGAAGTTTGGTCACCACCTTCTGTGACGCTGTCTCAGAAGACTTAAACTCTCTCATGCAAGAGCCAAAGGTTTATGTAATAAACCACCACACCAAATGTTGAGTAAAAACATCTGGGGAAAACAAGAAAATTATGTGATTAAATATAGCAAGCTTCTCTCTGCATGACACAGCTATTTAAAAAGCTATATTAACTTTATACACTCATTATTTGTTCCAAAAAGGCAAGAAAGCCAGTTTCCAGATTTTGTTTACATTCCAACATGCCAAAATTCAAAATAGAAAAACAAAGCTATCTTGTTTTGCTCAATACTCAAGAATGTTTAGGCAAGAGAACTCTATTTGCCATAGCTTTCAGGGGGGTTAAAAAATTCATAGGAGGACTTCCAGGAAGATGGTGACTGAGTAACACATACCAGAGGGACTCCACGGAAAGCAGTGCAGAAGAGTTACTAAGAGGGAAATTCCACACTGCCAGGTTGGTCGCAGGAGGAACATCATAAAGCTGACTAGGCACAGATCCACTAGGTTCTGAGGAGCTGGGGGCTTTTGGCTTACCACAGTGGAGGCCGGTTAGGGTCTGACTTTAGGCCCACCACCAAATCAGCCAGAGCCGGGATCATTTGGAGCCAGCCCAGGGGCTTTATCTCAACACAGCCACAGCTTGCAGCTACCTCGGGGAAGGGTTTAAATCCCTCCAGCCTCACAGTCAGGGATCAGTGCTCAGGGCTCAGCTATATTACTTTTGTTTCCCTCTCTTCTCTATCCTCCCCACAGACTCAGCGGGCTGTTGTTGGTTTTTTTTCCTTCCCCCACTCCTTTTCTCTTACACACCACTGGCTGACCTCCAGACCACTCCCTTTAGCCAAGGGCATTTATGCCTGCCCTCCACCCATCTGGGAGAGCTCCACCCTCTACAGCATAACCCTAGGCTGGGGAAAGCCTGCCCACCCTCCACCAGGGGATATGCTGTCCAACTTCTTCTGCAGGAAATCCTGCCCACTTTCCTCCTCCAAGGAAAATCCTGCCTGCATGGCTGGTGGAGCTCCTACTGGTCCTCAGTGGTCCCGCATGACTAAGGGAACTTCCTCCCACCTGCTGTAGTGCCTCACGTGGCCTAAGGCAGCTCTACTAACACTTTCCAACAGTCCACGCTGCTGCAGGAACCTCTGCCCAATATCCGCTGCAATCTACCTGACCAGGGCAATTCTGGAAAATGGCACCTGGCTCCTCTAAAACAATACAACACAAACAGCAATCAGCCGCAATGAACTCAACGAAAAAACAGGAGAAACAAAAGGATGTTCTGTACCTAACAATGTGCACAGAAGAAGCAGACATTGAACTGCCACAGAAAGAAATTTTCAGCATGCTGCTTGCAGTCATACAAGGTATGAGGGAAACAATACAGAAAAAGGATGAAATGATAAAGGAGATAAAGACCATACACAGAAGGGTAATACAAGAGCATAGGGACGAGATAACAAAAACCAGTAGCAGACTCACGGACTTCGCCAATCGACTGGAGGAGGCAGAGAACCGCACCAGTGACCTCGAGGACAGCCAAGCATACTTAAACAAACGCAAACAAAAATCTACTAAGATCATCAGAGAAGTTGAAGAAAACCTAAGAGCTATGTCTGATGCTATGAAGAGGCCCAACATCAGAATAATTGGACTACCAGAGGAAGACACAACAAAGAAGTCATCTGCAACAATAGGGAGAGAATTCTTGGGAGGAAAACTTCCCCAGCTTAATGAATGAAAACTAGGCAACCATTCAGGAGGCTGAAAGAACACCAGCTAGACTGAATCCCAAGAAGTCACGAAGGCACATAATAGTTAAACTACCCAATTTTGAGGGAAAGGAGAAAATTATGAGAGCAGCTAGGGAAAAACAAGCGAAAGGTTCCCAAATAAGAATATGCTCAGACCTATCAGACCTATGAAGAGCATGGAATAACATCCCAAAGATTAATGGAAAATAACACAAACCCCAAAATACTCTATCCAGCCAAATTATCTACCAAGATAGATGAAGAAGAGTCTTCCCAGGCAATGAAAAACTCAAACAATACGTTAGAAGAAACCCAGCCCTACAAAAGATCCTCGCTGACCTAGTACGGGCAGAAGGACAACAATCACCAAGCATAAATAAGAGACCACCACATAGAACAACCCCATCCAGAGGGTAACAAAGAGAAAACAGCCCCCAAGATAGTTTGGCTTAAGGGGGAAAAGAAGTCAAGAATGAAACACACACACACACACACACTGATAAGAAAGGGAAGTAGGAAAACACCCGACACAAAAAAGAAGATGACATCACAGAGTCCACAGATGGAGATAATAACCCTGAATGTTAATGGATTGAATCAGGCATTAAAAGACTGGGGCTAGCAGACTGGCTTAGAAAACAATCCATCAACCGGTTGCCTACAGGAGACACATCTCAAGACTACATGCTCGTGAATTGTAAGACTCAAATATAGTAAAGATGTCAGTTCTGTCCAAGTCGTTATATAAGTTCAATGCAATTACCCTCATCTCTCTTCAATGAAATGGAAAAAGGGATTACCAATACCAAAATTAGAGAGAGAACTCCTCAAGAAGGAAACAATGGGAGGGCTTGCTTCACCTGACTTTAGCACATATTATGTAGTCATGGTGGTCAAAACCACATGGTATGGTATAATGACAGAGACACAGACCAATAGAAAAGAACTGAAGACCCAGAAATAAAATCATCAGCATACAGACAACTGACTGACCTTTGATATGGGCACCAAAATTATCAAATGGGAAGCAGGTGCCCTCTTCAACAAGTGGTGCTGGAAAAAATGGATATCTACCTGCAGAAAAATGAAGCAAGACCCTTATCTCACTCTGTGCACAAGAATACACTCAAAGTGAATCAGAGACCTCAAGGTAAACCCCAAACTATTAGGCCCATCGACGAGGGAATTGGGACAAACCTGAGAACTTTGGTGCAGGGAATACATAGGATATCAGAAATAGGGAAGGACACATACACAGCTAAATCACAAATTGACAAGTGGGATATACTGAAGATAAAACACTTGTGTACATCAAAAGAATCCACAAAGATAATAATAAAAGAGCCCATGGCTGGGAAAACATCTTTAGCAATGACACATCAAAGGCCTTATTACAAAAACCTACAATACTTTGGTAGTTTCCAAAAACAAAAAAAACTAATTGCCCACTGAGGAAGTGTGCAAAGGACCTGAACAGAAGTTTCACAAGGGCAGAAATCAAAATGACCAATAAACATAAGAAAATGTTCCTGACCATTAGCCACAGGAGAAATGCAAATTAAAACAACAATGAGATACCACCTAATACCCTCAAAGATAGCCCAATTCAAAAAATGAGAAAGCAGCAAGTGTTGAAGGGGTTGTGGTGAGATAGGAACTCTCATCCACTGTTGGTGGACCTGTAGGTATATACAGCCACTATGGAAATCGATTTGATGATATCTAAAACCATACGACCCAGCAATCCCCCTACAAGGCATAAACCCAGAAAAGGCAAGAAACAAACCATGGCCAGACATCTGTGCTCCAATGTTCATCGTGGCACAGTTCACAATTGCAAGGAGTTGGAAACAACCCAGATTTCCATCAACAGACGAATGGATTAAAAAAACTGTGGTACATACATACAATGGAGTACAACGCATCGCTAAAAGGCAGTGATGAACGCATGAAGCACATTGCCGCATAGGAACAACTGGAGGGAATTATGCTAAGGGAAATAAGCCAAGCACAAAAGGACAAGCATAATATGAGTCCACTGAGCTAAGCTTAAAAAAGAAAAATGCAAAAGGGGCATAGGGAAAAAGCTACTGTATACAAACATTCCTGGGATGAGGTCCAGGTAGTATGACAGGGATCAAACCAAATCCAGGGATACATATGATAGCCAACTAAAAATGAGGGGGTAGGGGGTTGAGGAATAAAAAAAAAAAGACATGGGTAGTGGGGGACCAGGCACTAACCCACCCAAGGGGAGGGTATTGTTTATATCTCCACAGGGGAAAAGGGACCAGACTTCAACCCGGTGCTCCAAGATGTCAATGCAACATACCAGCATGAGGCAGGGAACCAGTAGAGAGGTCTGAGGGGCCGGCCCCAATCCCAACTACATGTATAGCCCTCCTCCCCCCCAGAAGAATTTACTTCAGAGGACAACAATGAAGCTACAGCTCAGGGAGAGGGGCATGTCTGATCAGAGCACACTGGAGCAAATAAAGAGGGAGGAAGAGAGTGGAGCACATCCTGGCACCCACCAAGCCTTGAGGATGATATCCCTTCTCAGAGCAGCCAATGCACAGAGAGGACCATATGGCCGGCCCCACTACAAGACATGACATCCCTCACTGACCCATAGCCCACAGGGGACAACACTGGGGACACAGTGTGGGAATTGCGCCCAATCTGACCCCACCACACTGAGGCAAAACACCAAGGGCATGCAAGAGAACAGTAAGGGGAGCAGAGCAAGGAAGTCCTGAGGGAATACCAAAAATAGACTTTGGGGCCAGGGTATGGCACTCCATCAGACTCAACCAGAAAACACTCCTAAAGGTCAACAGACAGACCTTGAACTAATTGCAGGGTGTCTTTTTTTTTTGTCATTGCTTTTTTGTTGTTGTATTTCTTTTGTTGCTTTGTTTTGCCGTCTTGTTTCTTGTGCATATTATCTCTGCAGGTCTATCTAGATAAACAATCTGGAGGCGAAAACAACAGGACAGATGGTTCTGGGGCTACATGGGAGAGGGGTAGGTGGGAGAAAAGAAGTGGGTGTGAACCAACCCAGGGACATTGGAACAACAAGTGATCCAAAATCGGTGGTGTAGGAGGCCTGGTAGAGCTTGATCTAGGACAATGTAACTGAGAGGAATTACTGAAACCCAAATGAAGGCTAAGCATGACAGTGGGACTAGAAGTAAAAGGAAATAGAGGAAAGAACTAAGAGGCAAAGGGTACTTATAGATGTCTAAATACAGGCATGTACATATGTAAATATATTTATATATGAGGATGGGGAAATAGATCTACGTACATATATTTATAGGTTTAGTATTAAG